ATAGGGCGAGCATGTTTGGTGCGACGGGGATTCGAACCCGCGACCTACAGATTGCGAGTCGAGCGCCCTAACCACCTGGCCATGCCGTGCCGGAATCTTTTTTATCATGACAGCTATTACAACAAAACTAAAATCAGAGAAAAGTAAAATTATGTCTTTATAATAGTGAATAATAATAATAGTAAATAGATGTAATCTGAATCTTTTTTTTCTACAACTTTATTTTTCGATATAATAATTTTACAAAACTTCTACTCGTATACAGAAAATCAAGTACATTTTATGTATAAAACAGTCTTTGTTGTTCTCTCTTCTTTTCTTTTTCTTTTCTTATGGACATTTAATTCAAACATCTTTCCAACAGGTACCTTAGTGCTAAACGACTCTGCCCTAAATGTCCGGATCACGTCTTATGATCAGTGTCGATGTGAAAACAGTGGAAAATGTGAACAAGTAGTGAATGAAGATGGGTACGAGTGTCGCTGTGCTAAAGGTTTCACTGGTAAAACGCCAATATGTATTTAATAGATATTTGTATCTAATTTACAATATGCTATATTCGGTGGGGGTTAGCCACTTGTAAAAAAATTCAATGGATAAACTGTACAGATGGTCTAATGATACTTTACCTCAAAATTGTGACTTGATAATATTTGCATAATTGGGTGTGTTTTCTTATAGCAAAGCCACATCGGGCTATCTGCTGTGTCCACCGAGGGGGATCGAACCTTTGATGTTAGCGTTGTAAATCAAAAGACTTACCGCTGTCCCAGAATCGAACCCCAGATTTTAGCATTGTAAATCTACTATTTGTAAAGCTTCAAGGTAAGTGTTAACAAAGTTGAGTGTACTATTTGTAAAGCTTCAAGGCAAGTGTTAACAAAGTTGAGTGCACTATTTGTAAAGCTGCGTTTTCGATATCACACGGTGGCAGATCGGACATCACGAATCACAATGCCAAGAAAAACAACAAGGTCCATTTTGAAATTAGGGGCTGTCCCGGTTTTTCGGTTTGAAAATTTGGTCAACTTAAGATTATAGCATGCCAAACGTGACTGAAAGTTAAACACTCTTCTAATTAAAAAAATAACCCGATTCACCTATTATCTTCTTCTTGAAGAGCCGCCTGCCGTTGAAGACTGGGATGATGACGCTGACGAGATGGTGTAAAAACTGATGAACAATGAACATCCTGCTTAGCGTCCCTGTAATTAAAATAATCCTGCAGGGTTAATCGTTCTGTTTATGTAAAGTCTTTTCACAACCAGACGCATATAGGAGTTTCTCAGTACACCACAAACTGTAGTTCTACTTTCAGGAATGAAATTTATCTAATATTAACGTTCTGATAACAAAGTAAGTTTTTCCAGTTATGTAATCACTTGGAGAGAATTAATAAGAATGTCACATCTTTACTGTGTTAAGTTCTTGTATATACAATGCGTATTTCCTAAAAAACGAACAACGTAAACACAGGGGAAAGAATTTTTTTAAGTAAACTTGTGAGAACTGTTAGAAAGGCTTGTAAAAGTTATTGGATGTATAACGTACCACAAAAATATGCTGAATATACTGATTAATCTCCAGCATCATAGGAAAAGATAGTTTTCTATGAAGACTTACGATGTACAATTTGGTATTGGCAAATTTCAGCTCAGTGAAAAATTACTCTTAATATTTTTAGTATGATTCCAAACAAAGAAGCAGACTCTGTGTTAAAAATACTTTCTTAGTAAGTCTTTTTTTTTTTCACTAGAAAGTTCAAATGAACGAATTGTATTTTCAGTAAAAAAAATAAAAATGATGTTACATTTTTATAAAATTATCGTACATGCATTGAAATAAATTAAATTATTTATACACCTCTTAAATATTCGGGCATGGCGTGGCCTGGTGGTTAGGGCGTTCGGCTCGCAATCTACGAGTCGCGGTTTGGAATCCCCATCACCGTTTAATCTTTGATTTAGTTATTTATATTGAATCCCTTTTGTGCAATGTGCTTGCGACCAGAGTTGATTAGATAACTTGATTAACGATGACCTTATTCTAATATACGATAACTATGAACAAATCTAATTAAAATTATTATACAGACAAAAAGGCACCAGTTACGGGTAGTTGGCTTCAAATTTGAACTCCTTACATTTGGTTTGATAAAAGGAGAATCCAGTGTATCAATAAAACATTTCCTGAATAATATATTCATGATGACTGAAATTATCATAAGCAAATCGTTACGTAACAAAGAGATTAATTAATGAAAACGTTACCTCTGCTGAGAAGGGATTTGAAGCTGTTGCCTTATTTCCCCATCAAGCATTCCTCTGCGTTTATGGAAAACAAATGGTGATGAATTTGGTTCCATCTTAAAAGAGGTACACGTATTATCTTCATTTTTTGTAGCATTCGCTGGTTTGCCATTAGATTTAAATAACTGATTTTGCAAAACCATGTCGTTGACAATTCCATTTTGAAAAAAGTCACGTTTTTCAAGTAACGCGTGGAAACTGATCGACTCCAGTGAGAAATACTTTATGTTATCGGTGTTTCGTTTTTCGTTGTTGAACGGAAACAGATCTGACATACTAAAAGATCTTGTACAAAGATTTGAGGTACGTTTCTTATTGAGATCACGATTACAAAAAGTTTGCTCACTCTTCCATTTGGAAGTGTCGTAATTTGTAACAGATCCATTGCACCGTTTGAACACATTATAATTTAAAAATGAATTTAAATTTTCGGTAGAAATACTAGACGTTTTTTCGCATGCTTCAGACCGAGATCGAAGCTTTTCTTCTATACATTTTGGTGCTTTAGGTGCTAAAATACCATCGAGACTTTTGGCTTTGTTTGGGTTTCTTAATATAAGAGAATTGTTACGCAATGGAACAATAGAGGCATTTTCTTCTTTGTTATGGGGAACCAGTGTATCTGAAGAAGACATTGGTGGTCCAGAGATCTGTCCAAAGTTGCTACACACATTCGGTTGCGATAAAACACATGGACTTAGTTTTTCATTACTTCTAGAACTGCATGCAGCTACCAATTTATGAAAAGCTTCCCTGGATTTTCGTTTTTCCTCTTCTGTCTTTTCTCTTGGTAGGTCCACAGAACGCTTTAGATTCAAAATATTGTTAGGATTTTCAGGTGGTCCCATTCCCCCTATTTCAAACATTGGTTTCAACAAAACAACTGCTTTCTTATTTGAAGTAGGAGTTGCTTGAGAGTCACTGGAGAAGTCTTCCATTGCTCGAGGTCGTGGCGAGAACAGAGAGTTATCCGTAGGAACTTGAAGAAATTTAGATGATGACTTCTTCATCTGATTTCTTCCATTAATCGTATCTTCAACTGGGTTGCAAGAGCTGGATCTAGAGAGACCAGGGCTGGCTAGTGAAGAGTAACCGGATGTGCTAAGGTTGGTCTCTGAAGCTGTACGACCACCTGCAGGCCATACAAATGGCTGAGGACTTAAATAGGTTACAGACTGAGCTGAAACGTTAGGACTTACGACATCTGCTTCGTATGAGTTCATATTCGAAGTAATCAATATCTTTGGTGGAGAACATACTTCTGAAAATTTTTTTGGGAAAAATAACCCCAGTTTTCTCAGCCTTGTCTTTTTTTGGGTGCTGGGTTTGGACGGCACAAGAAACTTCATAGGCGAAGGAGGCAAAGAGGAGTTTGTTAGTGTTTCAGCGGTTCCGGAACGACTAATATTTGATTGACTTTGTTTTACTATGGCTTCATTTAAGTCTTCAATCAATTTTTCATTTGAGTCACGAGAATCGGCTAGATTATTAAATTCTTGTTGTAATAGTTCTTCAACAGAGCCAGTAACAGCTTGTTCAACAATATTTTTACGTATTAAATCACCAAATGTTTGAATTGGTGAGGATTTTGTGTTCACCTCTTCCATTTTCACTTTGCACTGTGGATTTTCGGAAGTTTCGTGCTCAAATGATTGCTCGTCCATAGACTGATTGAATTCGGCGAAAGATGGGGCCGAATGGCAAGAAAATTGTGGAGCTAATTGATTACCCAGATACCCTTCTGACATTTCTTCACTGGTAGTTGACATACTTTTGGGATTATCGCTCATCCACGTTAATCTTAATTTGCCACTTGTTTTTAAAAATTCATCCAAGCTCATCCTTCTCGGCTTTGAATTTTGGTTGGCCTTTACCAACGATGCCAAAATTTCCGACGTCTCTTTGTTATTTTTTTCATTATCACGTTTTAGTCTATCTGACTGAAGTTTCTTTGTTGAGTGACTTCGTTTGAGAAAATCATCAAAATTAAAAGAATGTCCATGCGCTCCGTTGCTTGGACTATTCAGAGAATTATCGAAAGAAGCGCAAAAACTGTGAGTTCTGAGTCTGTTGAATAAAGAATTTGGGTGATTTTCCGTAAGCATACTGCCCTGCGTATGACTCCCTTGGCTTGGATGTAGGCCATAACAAGCAGCTGATGGAGATGGGTCTGTAACGGAAAAATAATATAGTAATGTTTGCTTTTTTTAATGGATGTAGGCCATAACAAGCAGCTGATGGAGATGGGTCTGTAACGGAAAAATAATATAGTAATGTTTGCTTTTTTAATGGATGTAGGCCACAACAAGCAGCTGATGGAGAAGGGTCTGTAACGGAAAAATAATATAGTAATGTTTGCTTTTTTTAACGGATGTAGGCCACAACAAGCAGCTGATGGAGAAGGGTCTGTAACGGAAAAATAATATAGTAATGTTTGCTTTTTTTAATGGATGTAGGCCACAACAAGCAGCTGATGGAGAAGGGTCTGTAACGGAAAAATAATATAGTAATGTTTGCTTTTGTTAATGGATGTAGGCCACAACAAGCAGCTGATGGAGATGGGTCTGTAACGGAAAAATAATATAGTAATGTTTGCCATTTTTTTAATAATATAATCTTCACTGAATAATCAGTAGAATAGATGTTTCTATAATGCACCCCTAAAGCATAAAGAATTTGTAATTTTGTATTTCAAACGCTGGAAGTTATTTGTGAGAAAAGACATTTTTAACGAATAATCTATATCAGTATAGGCTACTCAATACTGTATACAATGTTTCTATTCTAGAGCGGATGCAATAGAAGTTGGTAACTAATATAACTATTTATGGTGATCTCTAACGCATCATCAATCTTTTTGTGTAATTTCCATAATCACTGTTGTAAATGAATACAGAAACTATGTAAATCAACACATTATCATTACTTTTGATAAGAAAAAACAATGACAACAAAAAATATTAACATTCAGGAACGTATTGTAAGCATACACTAAACAAATAATTCCACAATTGTTATATTTTATGGATAATAATACATATATACTTACTATTTTTACTCTTTTCAATTTCTTCTGCTAAAAATCTTTCAATTTTATCAGCAAATTTCCGTTTCACGCAATAGACTAAAATGATAACTAGAAGAACAACGGACATGGTAATTAGGCCTAACCAGAATGGTTCTTCGAGCATTCTCTGGCTGAGAGGTTTGAACGGAATCCGAAACAAGTTTTGATCACAATATCGTCCTATAAAGAAAAGCATATATATGTATATTTGAATCCACATAACTATAACAAAAAAATGGATTCTGTTCACCATAATGCTAGCTCAAAATCTGTTTTATAGTCTTGTTTCAAACACAGTGAACCACTCTCGCTACCAGCGGTGTTTACTGCTATAATCCTAATTTTGCCTCGCGAAATCCACTCATTTTAGTTAATGAATTTACTCCAATTATGCAAGACACCCAGTGGGACAGCGGTAAGTCTTCGGATTTACAACGCTAAAATCTGGGGTTCGATTCTGGGACAGCGGTAAGTCTTTTTATTTGTAAAGCTTCAAGGTAAGTGTTAACAAAGTTGAGTGTAGTATTTGTAAAGCTTCAAGGTAAGTGTTAACAAAGTTGAGTGTACCATTTGTAAAGCTTCAAGGTAAGTGTTAACAAAGTTGAATTACTATTTGTAAAGCTTCAAGGTAAGTGTTAACAAAGTTGAGTGTACTACTTGTAAAGCTTCAAGGCAAGTGTTAACGAAGTTGAGTGTACTATTTGTAAAGCTTCAAGGTAAGTGTTAACAAAGTTGAGTGTACTATTTGTAAAGCTTCAAGGCAAGTATTAACGAAGTTGAGTGTACTTTTGTAAAGCTTCAAGGTAAGTGTTAACAAAGTTGAGTGTACTATTTGTAAAGCTTCAAGGTAAGTGTTAACAAAGTTGAGTGTACTATTTGTAAAGCTTCAAGGCAAGTGTTAACGAAGTTGATTGTACTTTTGTAAAGCTTCAAGGTAAGTGTTAACAAAGTTGAGTGTACTTTTGTAAAGCTTCAAGGTAAGTGTTAACAAAGTTGAGTGTAAAATTTGTAAAGCTTCAAGGTAAGTGTTAACAAAGTTGAGTGTACTATTTGTAAAGCTTCAAGGTAAGTGTTAACAAAGTTGAGTGTACCATTTGTAAAGCTTCAAGGCAAGTGTTAACAAAGTTGAGTGTACCATTTGTAAAGCTTCAAGGCAAGTGTTAACGAAGTTGAGTGTACTATTTGTAAAGCTTCAAGGTAAGTGTTAACAAAGTTGAGTGTAATATTTGTAAAGCTTCAAGGCAAGTGTTAACGAAGTTGAGTCTGCACTCAACTTTGTTAACACTTGCCTTGAAGCTTTACAAATAGCGCACTCAACTTTGTTAACACTTGCCTTGATAAAAGTGAAGTTTGCTTTCAAAGTATGAAAACATATTCGTTTCGGCGTTTTGACACAATGGTAGATTAAACATTTTAAACCAGACACGTTTAACCATCTTAACCACAAAATTCATCAACTGATACATGTCTACTATAGTACTACCACTAACTAAAAAACCACGGAGACACGTTTAACCATCTTAACCACAAAATTCATCAACTGATACATGTCTACTATAGTACTACCACTAACTAAAAAACCCGCACAGACACGTTTAACCATCTTAACCACAAAATTCATCAACTGATACATGTCTACTATAGTACTACCACTAACTAAAAAACCCGCGCAGACACGTTTAACCATCTTAACCACAAAATTCATCAACTGATACATGTCTACTATAGTACTACATAATAATAGAACACCACACATAATAATAGAACACGCACACATAATAATAGAACACGCACACATAACAATAGAACACGCACACATAATAATATAACACATAAACACAATAATAGAACAATATTCTAGTTGTCACAGTTGATATTTTAAAACAAAAAAACAGGTGTTGTTATCTCCTTCTTTCGAGAAATACACAACCAATGCAAACACACGTTGGTATTTTTGCCGCCTAGGGAAACATTACAACTGGTATTTTATTAAATATATTACACTTGATGGAATATCTTTGACATTAGCAAAGAGCATATATTAACTTTTTGATAAACAGCAAAAGTCTGTTCGTGTTTCTAATGAGATTGAAGTATATACGTTAACAGTAATATATTCAACTTTTATGTTTTCCAAGTTACAACAACCTAATACAACGTTTAACAAGCTCGAAGTATCTACAAAATATCTATGTTTTTTGTTAAACCAAATTTTGACTCGGTAATAACTGATGAAAGAATAAAATAATTGAAAAGCCATATTTGAAAAACAACAACAAAAGACAGACCATCTGTTGATACGCTCAGTTCTAATTTATTGATATCCAAATTAAGAAGTTAAATATCGTTAAAACACTATAATTCAGGTGATTTTCTACAAGTTATTTGGGCACAGCCCCAATCGCCCACTCTGTAGTTCTGCGCTTGATAATAAACAAACTACAAGTTATTAATTATTTAAGTTAGTTCTATCCGTCATATAAATTTTTCTTTAAAAAATACACCAAAATTCTTTGTTTGAAACAAAACACATTTTTGTAAATAATCGTGTTAATTATGTAGTATGTGGACCGAGAATGTGGTGACATTTTAAACGGTTTCTGAAAATGAAAATAGCAGAACTTCGGTTTCAAAAATGTGTTTGTAAATTTGCCCAGATGTCACAATCTACAATATACACTTGTTAGTAAATTACTGGTAAAAGTTCACGGGAAGCAACAACTACACGGAAAAGTTTGTTATTCTTGCTTGGAATGACCGAATACACATCCTTGTTGATATTCAAATATTTAAGTACATCTGTGAATGCAATCCTGAGAGACTTAATAGCTCCCTTGAGCCTCCATTTTGAACCCCTAACAACGAGATTTAAAATCTCCAAACGTGGATACTTATTTCGAATGACCCCTTGCTTATCTATGGCAATTTTCAACTATATCTGTGGAGAGTTCCCCGAACTAACTCCTTAGAAACCCCCTTAGTCACAATTACAAAATCTTCCAAAATCAGAGTTTAGATTATGAGTTTTAACGGTTTCTTATATTTGAGATGTTAATACCAATAAATTATTTTGAGTAAAGTGATTCAGTTAAACTTCAGAGCCTTTGAAACCCCTCTTAATTACTAATTTTTGAGTAAACTTTACATCTATTTCAACTTTTTCCTCCTTTTTTGAGGGTTCAAGAGCCTACGTACAAAACTTAAAGTCGTTTTGTCAAATCTTGTGGGAGGAGTTTAAAAAAAAATTAAGTGTCATACGAACATAGACACAACCGAGAGTTATTATACAGATTAGAGACAAAATAAATAATCTTTTTTAACAAAATCCGTATTAAAACATGCTGCCCGGGCAACAATATCAGGTGAACATTAACCACCACTATAGTCTGTAATAAGAATTACTGAGCAAAAACCTTGCAACCAAGCACCTGGATGTCTTGTGGAACGAATAGACTGTACGTGATCCGGCCAGCTACACAAATCGCTCGTTTTTCTAACATAATCTTGCGCCTGAAATCAACTCAGCAACAACCTCGTGAGCTTCTAACGCTAACATTCATGGTTCGATCCCTTCATTGGTTATAATGCATCTAACCCATTTTACAGTTTTACGCTTAAACGAAAAATCAACCAGTTTCCTTGTAGCCTCTCAAACTTATCCCAATACTAATATGCATCACGTTTTCCAGCTGTCACGACATCCACATTGTATCCATAAAGACTAGTGCGTCAACATTTTATTATTAGGTGCAGGTTCTAATGCATGTTTTATTTTTTTCTCCACTGATGATCGTTACCAAAATCTCCAATGTAACCTTAATATATGAATAACAGAAAGCGATGGTTCGAACTACGTTTGCTGAGCACATATTGTATCGACATGTGTCTCAATATCGAAAGAGGTCATTACTTCTGCCAGTCAAATACGGACATCTCAATATCGAAAGAGGTCATTACTTCTGCCAGTCAAATACGGACATCTCAATATCAAAAGAGGTCATTACTTCTGCCAGTCAAATACGGACATCTCAATATCAAAAGAGGTCATTACTTCTGCCAGTCAAATACGGACATTTGATTTCATTCTTGGACCATTTGTAACGGTAAAAGCAACTCGAATGCTCTCATTCCATTTGTACCATGAGATTAGTTTCACTGGATTGAACAGAATGACTTCAAATAACCACTTAATTCACTCGAACGGTCAATGAAGTAGGTATGATTGTTTTGGCGCGTGTGATAAACAGTAGCGATATCGAACAGCGAGTATTTACACTGAAATCAAAGAAACATTGTCACAAAATAGGTAAAACTTATGAGGCTATAATATCTATATTATAAATCTAAAATATGTGGTTTACACATGACCAACTTGACGTTAAAAATCGACTTTTATAGAGATAGGTATTTTCGATGTTTCGTACGAATAAACTCCTCATGATGACTGTCGTATTGTTTAGACGTTTTCACCATTTTCTTGATTTGTTCCTTCGGTCATTTCAAACCACTGATGAACCTGCTCTTTAGATGACGTGTCTGGTAACTTAAGAGGTTCTACCGACTCGTCGAAGAACATTCTTGGTATTCTGAGCAGCTTAGGAGACTTGCGAAGAGGTGATTTGGGTCCTGTGGGCAGTCTGGCTGAGTCAGGAAGGTTTGATGATGCGCTAGCAGAAATTTCGGGATTCGGGAACAGCAGGTCTAAGTTTTCGCTAGATACATCAGAGACATTCTGTAGTTGCGTCGACTGGCTATGAGGAATATCGGATTGGCTAGATAATGGTAATGGCTCGTCCGTGGAGTCTTTGGACAACATGCGTCCGTAGTCAGAGTTATTTATATGTTTGGTTGAATTTATGGTGCCTTTTTCAGCATTCATAAGCATTTGACTTACGTCCTCTGAGGGCTCAACGGGATTTCGAAACCCTCGGTTTGAATCTTTAAAAACAGTATTATGTTTGTTCGTCATAAGGAAGGATTTATCAAAAGATAGATTAGGAATGTTGAGCAGCTGTGCTGATTTACTAGTGCATATTCCGGCCTTTCTGGGCAGCAAAGGTGACTTTGAACTGATTAGACCCCTGAAAATCAACAAACATTAATGTAATTACATCTTCTTATGTATCTAGTTTCAGAGCCGAAAATAACAGATTGATGCATGTTTCAACAGGGAAAATATTTTCCACATAAAGATATAGATTATATACGATCACCAGATGTCCAGTTTTTTTTTGGTAGTTTGTCCACGAAAAGTTCTCGAGACGCACAAAACAACCAAGTTTTGCGATAAAGATATCTAATTGTCAGCTGCATCCAATCACGTATATAATTAATCTATTTGAGTTTCTCGTTGTTGTAACGCGTACTCTTCCGTCAACAAGCTATCCCGAAATTTCCGTCAATGCGTAGCGAAAACCTAGGTCTGCGCGGGTTTTTTTAGTTAGTAGTAGTAGTAGTATGTGTGCGTGTTCTATTATTATGTGTATGTGTTATATTGTTATGTGTGCGTGTTATATTGTTATGTGTGCGTGTTCTATTATTATGTGTGCGTGTTCTATTATTGTGTGCGTGTTCTATTATTGTGTTTCTGTGAGCTGGTTTTATGAAATTTTAGATGGTTTCTCGATTTTTCGTAAGTAAAAAGTCGCATTGTATAACATTTACCCCAAAAATTTAACAATATTATACACAGATCTTTTAATTAGTGGCCACTAGGTGATGTGAGAAGATAATTAAGATTATAAACTAACATGAGTAAATATTTAACTATTCATAAACATTCAAATACGGTGATAACATCAGTAAAAATGAAAAGTTTTGTTCAATTATGAACACTAACACACTTAGCAAAGAAATAATTTTGCCATAACCACGTTAAGTTGATAAGAAGATTCAACTTTTAATATCTGTACAATAATGAATCGTTGTTTTAGAAGGTGATATCAAGAATAATAACTTATAGATGACGTGAAACCTATTCCAATAGTTTGTGAAATAAGTAGACTTTAAATTATAGAATAGTAACTTATAGATGACGTGAAACCTATTCCAATAGTTTGTGAAATAAGTAGACTTTAAATTATAGAATAGTAACTTATAGATGACGTGAAACCTATTCAAATAGTTTGTGAAATAAGTAGACTTTAAATTATAGAATAGTAACTTATAGATGACGTGAAACCTATTCAAATAGTTTGTGAAATAAGTAGACTTTAAATTATAGAATAGTAACTTATAGATGACGTGAAACCTATTCCAATAGTTTGTGAAATAAGTAGACTTTAAATTATAGAATAGTAACTTATAGATGACGTGAAACCTATTCAAATAGTTTGTAAAATAAGTAGACTTTAGATTATAGAATAGTAACTTATAGATGACGTGAAACCTATTCAAACAGTTTGTGAAATAAGTAGATATTAGATTATAGAATAGTAACTTATAGATGACGTGAAACCTATTCCAATAGTTTGTGAAATAAGTATACTTTAAATTATAATTCGTTATACACATAGTTATAGTGCACACATAATGCAGTTAAAATCGTAACTTCTAACTTACACACATGTATGTAATATATTATATACAAGCATACATATACAAACAAATATTAAGCTCAAATATATATATATAGTATATGCGCGTCCCCGAATGGCAAAGCGATAAGTTTGAGGCTTATAACGCTGAAATCCAGGGTTGGATTCCTCGCGGTAGACAAAACGCTTAATAACAAAACCACAAAATTTACGGTTTTCAAATATTATGATTGGCTTCAACGCATTGAATAATCTTACTTTCTGCTTGTAATAAACACACCTAATAATTGAACACACACATATAATAATAGAACACGCACACATAATAATAGAACACACACACACATAATAATAGAACACGCACACATAATAATGGAACACGCACACATAACAATAGAACACGCACACATAACAATAGAACACACACACACATAATAATAGAACACGCACACATAATAACAGAACACACACACATAATAATAGAACACATACACATACTAATGGAACACACACTTACAATGGATACTGGACTAAAACATATAAAACCAGCTTACAGAAACTTACAATGGATACTGGACTAAAACATATAAAACCAGCTTACAGAAACTTACAATGGATACTGGACTGAAACATATAAAACCAGCTTACAGAAACTTACAATG